ACTCATCACTATGGCAACAAGAGGTTGTGTAAATGACCCAAACATATTCTGTTATATTTGTGGTAAATTTGATTTAAGTAAGAATTTTTTTTTCTACCTGATTTGTAAAAAATCCTTACATGATAGAAAAAACATTAATATTATTTTTGAAATCTGCATGGCTGAATTATGAAAAATACGGTATTAAAACCAAACGAACTATTATGAAGTTTAAATTTGTAGGCCTATGTAATTAAATATCCACATACAACCTTATTTTCCAGAAATAGGGAGAGCTGGGACTTGGTTGTTCATCCAATAATTGTGAACAACACAGAAACCAAATCCTCCCTAATTCTTATATGTTAAAAAACGAACAAGCTTTATATGTTTGTAAAGTCAAGCACCATAATTTGTCTTTTAAAACAGATATCATTCTAAGTGTGCAATTCTTTCCATCTCCTGTTGACAAACAATTTTTAATATGTGGACAGACTGCTCATAGATAAAAATTGTTTGTCAACAAATTATTACCTACTAACCATGTCTTTTAACTAACTTCAAACTCCTAATTGTACATTTTACACAAGGTTAAATTATTGAAAGAAATGCTAATACAATAGATCATGATTACCATAATTTTTCATTAGGTGAATTTTCTCTTGACGTTAACAATTTTAGCTATCCATTTGTAACCCACAGCTAACATCAATAGTTCTTCCAAGCACCTTAAGCCTATCTGAGCCTGTTTCACTTTCAGACAAATTTCTTGGCCTCTTCTTAAATTCCATAAAATATTTTGTGTTTCTTTCAAAGGAGGTTCCCAATTTACAATAAAATACTCTATTCTGCATCTTTTAAGATTTCTACTTCATTTTCAGATATTAAAATAAATTACAAACTTTTACACAATATTCTTTAAAAAATGCAGAACACATTGAATTAATATTTTAATTCCTAATTTCTCTCTTTAATGTCCTTAAAATCCATTTATTTCTATGATTTTTCTTGTTTCCAGCCATTGAAATATTTTTGCTTTTTACCCTCATCATCTACAAGTAATACAACCCTGAAGCAACTTGAAAATGTTTGAGGAAATTTTATAAATTGCTTCAGAGTTTTAGTAGTTGAAAATACATATAATAAAAACTTAAGGGTTTTAGTATAAGCAAGTAGTCAAGGATAGATATCAAAAGAAAAAGAGGTGACAAGAGGATGCCTGTGTTACGAAATAAGCCTTGAGAATTGATAAACAGGAACTTGGTTATGTAAGGAGCATCGCCTAGAAACAAGCAACAAGACACGTGTATTACCCGAAAAAAACTTGAGAGGCGAGCTTGGAAACCAGTGACCAAGGTCAGCAGCAGAGTTTGTAAGAAATGCTGCATAGAAGCAGGATGTAGACACCAGTACATGTGACAATTTGAAGAATTGTTGACCTCAACCTCTAAGAACTAGGAAAACTACAGAAAAGTTTAGGCTTGGTGAGTCATATCGGTACTTTGAGGTGGTATTAGTTACAGCACATGGGTGT